ATTTAGAAAAGCATTTGATTAATTTCTTCTTATGCTGTTTTTATAGTTTTATTGTTTTACATTGTTTTATTTACTGTTATATTGTTTTTATATTCCCATTTCCTGTGTTGTAAAGCACTTTGTGATTTTTATCTGTGAAAACGCTATATAAATAAATTTTACTTACTTACTTACTAATATTGACTAAAACTTCTGACTTGCTTTCAGCACCTCACTGGAAAATAAATGAAATAGCTGTGAGGGCAGAAGGCGGTCCAACCAAACCTGGTGCTTGTAAAGAGACAATGTTGGTGAAAGTATGTTTTTGGTTAGATATTTTTGCTGCAAAGTAGCTTAGCTGAAGCTACATGTGGATGACAATAGACAAGTTTAAATTAATACTGTATATCTGAATGAGATAGTCCTCATCACAAGGTTATTGGAAGCCAAGAGTGTCAAACTCCCACTCTGCTGATTTTTAGCTCTAGGGCTCAGTCAGCAGCGCTGAAAATAAAATGCAAACCATTCAAAGGTAAATAGAGGAATCATTTAAGAAGCGTTTTAGATCTTCAGATAAGCACAGATACATTAATTTAAAATTTAACAATGAACACTGAATACAATTCTGTTATATTTTTCAGGAAATCTCTGAATCCTGCTGCCGTGTGCGTTCTCTGCCCTCATACAATCTGCTGAATTCAGTGCCTGCTCTTAAAATTAATAAACAGCAATGTCCCTCACCCCGCCATTGGTTAAAGTTTCCATTATTCTCATCATCTCCTTCTGTACCTCAAGAGCCATTGTGATGATCTGTGGAAGAAGGTCAGATTTCAGTATGTTTTATAAACTATAGAGTGAAAAATGGAGAATATAAAGAAACCAAGGTGACTTCCTAATAATCTACTGCATCAAAACAGCAAAAGAGGAAACACGCAGATCTACACACTAACTGCGAGCTAGTCTATGGACAACAGGGAGAAGTAAGCCAAAGGTTTCTGTTTTGTACTTGTTTGACTTGTTGTCCCACTTTGGGGATCAGGATCACTTCCTCCAGTAAATTCAGTTTTCCCGGCGAGGTCTTGCCACAGCTGAGCAATGTCACCAAGGAAACAGGGATGTGAAACGGAGGCTGAACAAAACGAATAACATTATTATATGTTGTTTCCAGCGTCGAACATCCAGTTTGTGTTTTCATTATCAAACCTCCTGGTTCCTCAGAGCTGCTACGTATTCGTATAGATGGACGCCCTGTATCTGTGCCCCAGTTTTGGCCACAGCCAGTGACACTGAGCCAACAGCCAAGCTTCCACGTAGAACTGGCTGTTGTGGTTCCGCTGCAGGAAGTGGCTTTTCCACGGTGCTCTTTTTACCTGTAATATAATAAAAATCCCAAAAGAGTTTGGAGCATATTTCTGGCTTGTAACAGAGAAAAAAACTAAGATTAATCAGAGAAAGAACCTGAAGCTCCACAAGAGAAACAGTGAGAAGTAAAACTTCCAGTCTTGTTTTGAACTCTTTCACAGTTTCTTTGTTTTTAATCTGACCACAGTGGTGATTTTATACAGTTTTTATAACACAGTGACCCAAACATTGAAAGTTTTCATTTTAGGGTAGTGCTTTAATAATAATAAGACCCCAGAATTGATTCAAGATGGCTCAAAAGGTGCAGGACTACGAGAACTTTGATTTTACTGATCGCTCACAAACTCCTGTTTACACTAACAGAAAGCTTGAGCACACAGTCAAAGTTTGCAGGAGGACAGGAGGAGGTCATGCAAAGGGTGGATGACATGAAGATAAATGATTCCCTGTGGTGACCAAAAAAGGGAGCAGCCAAAACAAGAAGAAAAACTGTGTGTGAGACATTACGAATTATTCGTTTTGTATTAAACTGAATGTTGTGAAGCAAAGAGCAGAGAGTGAGAGCTGGAGGGAGACATCACAGCGATTAACAGGATGAAAATAAAATAAATCAGGTTTGTCTCCTCTCCTAACAGCAAACACAACACGATCAAACCTTTTCACTTACTGCTTCATAAAGAGTGCCAGTCTATCTAATGATGAAAGGAAAGCTATCGGATAACAACAACGTCAAAATATTCACAGTAGGAGTGGGTTTAAAAAACAATTTTAGTTTCAATAAAGCGACATCGATTGATTCAATCCTGAATCGATTTTTAAATATAAACGCATTTTACCAGACATGTCACAGCTGCAGGTTTCATCACTCTGACCAAAATTCACCGAACCAGCAGCAAAAGAAGCTCAAACTACGCTTCACCTTTGATAAACAGCGTCATGAACTCCCTCTGACTTTGGCTGTTTTTTGCTTCCACCACCATAAAATCCCACTTCCTGCACAGCTCTCTCTCTCAGTTTACCATCAAACCTCTGTTTCCTGCATTATTCATTGCCATTACGCACCAGTCTGCTGCTGTGTGCAGCGCTGCTGGCCACAGTTGTGTTTGTTCAAAAATGACCTCCGACAACAAAGTCTGATTTCTGCTGTTTAACAGCAAAGGCGTGTAAACTGTTACAAATGATTGCTCAGCTGTGTCTGTAATCAAACCTTAATAACTCTGCTTCACTTCAGCAGCATCAGGTCATGTTCAATTCAATTCAGTTTTATTTATATAGCGCCAAATCACAACAAAAGTCGCCTCAAGGCGCTTCATAGATACAGAGAAAAACCAACAATGTTCACACGTTGATTCATGGTTTTTTTTACCTGCTATAAAAAGCCAGGCCAGGAAAATCTCCTTCATGCTTTTCTGTTTTATCCTCAGTTACTTTGACACAAAGGTCTCTGCTGTGATGCTCACACCTCTAAGTCTCACTGTAGCTGCCGTCATAGGCAACTCTCATTTAAGTTCATTTTATTAGATATGTAAGGTTGAAACAATTAGTAGTTGAAATATTAAGAAATAATAAATAAATAAATAGTAATTCATGTTTTGTTCATTAGATTTATATGTTTAAATGTGTTATTTGTGCTAACTGTGCAATTAGATAGGAACCTTTTCTA